ATGAGCCTGAAGCCGCATTCGCCTTTGAATTTGCCTCCCTATCCCGACTGGCCACGTTTCCGTATGAGCACCCTGGTTAGCTTATGAACCTTGCAGAAAGTTCACTCCTGGTTAATTGGCAACAGTCTTCGCCTCAAACTGAAATGAAAGCATTTTCCTACACTATTTGGTGGAACAATTTGTCACTCGGGGTTGTTACGTTGACGCAATACACGTATTGATTAAATCAGTTTTTTCTACAGCTAACCATTGTTTTGCCAACTATGGTTGGGAAAAAGTCTTTAATGGGATGTAACAAACTGCGACAGGGCACAGACACACTTTGCTCTGGGTTTGCTTCAAAATAGATTCATGAAAAAGAACATTCATTAAACAGCCACTGTGTAACGTATGACTTCCTGTTTGTTACAAGGCCCACGTTCACGTCTGACAGCGGCGTCTATGCATGTGAGAGCCTAACAAAACTCACCAGTGATGAGAAATCATGGGAAAGTCACGCTGCATGCCGAGTGTCATTCTGCGACCACAGGATCCCTGCCAACACATTGTCAGGCCTGCTACATGTATGCACCTTTTACTGTAAAATCAGGCAATGAGTACGCATGACTGGAGACTGTAGTGCCGTTGCGTATATGTTGGCATGAGATTACGCTAGAAGCTCCGAAACATTCATTGTGGCATCTATGCTCCTACTAACATCGTAATCTAACCAATCAGCTGTGTGGATAGCAACCCTCTGATGACCATACTCTGGCCACTTCTTTCAACCGATTGAACCATTGCCGTTTTGAAAGTTACTGTATCTGGCTATCACTTTTTATCAGTCAGAAACAACAAGCACCACGTTGAAAGAAAACGCTAGAGACAAGACCTGGGGCCACTTTTCTCGAGGTTGTGCTGGTATACAGCAATAAGTTGAAGTATGGTTCAGATTATCTCAATTTGAGCATCTTAGCAAAGTCTAGATCTATAAAGAAATCCACCCCGGATAAATTATTGAAATATTTTTTAGACATTGGTGTGACGACCACACGTTTATGTGAGTTTGAACTAAAAGGCAAATAAGATGTGTTGGACAAGTTGTCTGTATAATATCATAAACACGTCAAAAAGCTAAATTTAGTGATGTTAGGCAGTATTCAGCGGGTATTCGTGTTAACCAATCAAGTCTAGCCTCTACCAACTTTATTATCTTCGGTATCGGCAAATGGCTATTTGTAATTCAGGATTGGCATTTATTTTCCAGAAAGCTTGTTATTTACGCCACTGGTTGACAGCTCTCATGGGTAACTTTGTTTCCTCATTTGTTGCTTGGACACTAATGGATTACTTTCACAAGTCTTGAAAAGAATGCTCTGAGTGAATCTCACCAGGCTTGCACTTGTAATCTCATGGGACTCGGGCAAAGAGAGGAAAAGAAGGAACAGTGCGTCATCATTTATTTCTTGTACTCGTAGATGTAACTGCTTTTTTCTTTGTCGGGATGCAGATAACTTGAGCTGACCTTTTGCCCAAGGTTGGAGCTCTTGCTGTGCCTAGGTATGGTAAACATCAAGCACGTTGGTTTGAGGTGTTGTTCACATATTCAAAGTGCATTAGTCACGCCATCTGAAATCAGTCTGCTTTGTACATCGAATGCTGTTTCTGCCTGAGTAATTTAGTGGCTGACTTTCCAGACGTTCTGCAATCAATTATACAAGTCTTGAAATTGGTGCTTTTCATTTGGAAACAACATTAGTAGCGTATACAAATTAAAATCGAACCTTCCTACGGACACAATAATTATTCCGTTCCTTCCACAAATCTAACACACACGAAATACCTAGAATTCGCAAGAATGTACCATAAAACCAGAAGGCAGCAAGAGAATAAGGGTATACTAATCGATACTGAGTGAATAATGGCATTACTAATAGAAATGTATCCTGGTCATGGCGCTTAGTGGACTTCGCAAAGACAAAAATTGAAATATTGAAGACCATGTTATTTATTCTCTTTTTACTCACATTTCCGGGCATATCCTGAATGGGTAAAGAAATTTAGGCCTACCGAAATACAATTTCACTTTATAACTCTAGAACATGCTTACAATACAGAAAAAATGCTCAACTATAATTTTTCGAAAAAATGAAGACATTGTTATACATGCATTGTTATAATAAAATTTGAAAAGTTCAGTGACGATTCAGAAAGAAACCGTAAGACGTCCACGCTCAAAATTTGGTTTCTCAAACCTGTTTGTGATTCAATCTTATACGGCATCCCACCCACGTGAGCAGGCGTCCAATGAAAGTCGATCCATCATAATGTGCAGATTGCACTTAAAGATAATTTCATAAATGGTGACACCTGCAATCACTGTATGGGCGTTATCTCTTAATTGTAGCTGTCACTTGGTTATTGTAGACTTAATTATGAGCCCCCAGTATCGGATGCATGTCTCCGTTACGCTGACAGAACATTTGCGAGACTAGGCAGCCAAAGTGACTTAATGGTATCACACGGATGTCTTGGCACTGTTGAACGATTAGGTATGATGTCATCCGGGTAAAAGTGCGAGCACCGTGACGATAGGGATCTAAAGGGGGGCAACGATGGTTACCAACGAAGTTCAGCAATGACACTATCCCGCTATGCTGTGTGCTTCGCTTCGGTAAACTAAGCCTCCAAAGTGATCAATGTAACATGTACACTGAACCTGATGTGTTTAGATACAGCGTTTACTTTGGATCCGTCCGATTCTTGCACGCAAGTCATTGTCGACGTGTGAACTCAGATCGCGCTTGCACGAATCGATTCCCTTTCCATGTCCAGTAAATCTGTGTGAACATATCAAAAAAGAATGGTCAAGGCTGTGAGTGAATAAACATGGAGTAGAGACAAAGTGCACGATGGCTATGGTATTGTTGAATTGCTGGAGTCAACATACGCCAAACCATGTTTTATCTCATATTTTCTCCCGAAAAATGCGTCGGGAAGACTTTTCCAACTCTTGTTCAACTGAATATAGTTAAATATATTAGTCCGTGTAGTTTGTACGTGTACATGAATGCTTGGGACTATTGCTTACTTGTGTTTTAAGCCTGATGGTAGATGGGCATCCGCATGTGGTTAAATTGCATTTTTTGCTGAAATTGGTTCGTGGGATTAACAACGAAAACCTATGTAAAATTAATTATTTTTTTCTGCCCAGAGTATAGACGAAGGAACTCGGATAAATGCAATGTTCACACCGTCTGAAATCGCATTTATACCCCATATGCCACCTCTTCGCAACCAGGGGCATGGAAACATGATGGCGTGTCTAGCTCGCTCTTGTTCCAATCAACCATTATTAAATTTGGGGTTAGGACGAACATGAAAAGTGGACTTCATGAAACAATTGTTCTTTGACCGTACTGTGTATGGCACAGTGCACAGAACTATGCTGTTTTTGGTTAGCCCTACACATTTAGCGGCACAAAGGCTAGGGTCTTCGACTTCAGACGCTTCTTTCATCGGAATCTGGATGGATCCCAAAAGCCACCAGACGCCCTCGAATTGAGTAATGCAAAACAAAGCGGAATTTTTAGGGTCTGTGTTCCATTCCTACAAGTTAAGCAGGCTTGTAATTGATATACAGACGATGCATTGTTTAAAATGACATGCCACTCCATTTAACCAGTCAACTTCTCCAGGATTAGACCTCTTAATCATTTTGAGGATAAGATGCCTTAAAAATGAATTGGAAGAAGCCCCATTCCGTGACCGGCGGATCCCGACAGTCGTGACTGCCGTTGGAATGATACGGAGGCAGGCAAAACACAATCACAATCAATGTGTTGGCATTTTGCTCTATGTCAAACCGGGAAGGGGGAATCCACTCTGTTTGTAGGGCGTAGATCCATTTCTTCCACGCAGGATATGGAATTGATATTTAATCCGGCTCGCGGAATAAAAATCGTGCTCGGGCGCTGTTTGATCTGAGGGCTGTGCCGAAGGAGGAAGGAAAACCTTTTTGTTTTAGTAAACAAAAACGGCTCACGTTACATCTGATTTTACTGGTAATTGTGTCGGCGGCTAAATCCTAAATGATTTTTATTAGGAATGAAAACATTCTAGAGACGCGCTGCAGTGAGTAAATCTTGTACATCCGCTTTGAAAATAAGTGCGCGAACGCTGGCAGCTGCTAAGTGAAGTAGAGCGGTTCAAAGATGTCGAGCGGCTGGGTTTGCTTATAATTCAATAGAAGCAGCACTCTTGCAGGCAAATGTGCTGTTGGCGACACGGGTGTGGATGATGAACAGTGCTAATGGTTCCTTGGCTTTTTCTGTCACCTCCATCTCAGCGACTTCTTTGTGTTTGATCAAGGACGGTACAGTGATGGTTGGCATTAATGTCTGGAGGCGCTATTGATGCTATTATTACCCGGCACTCAGGAAAAACCAAAATCAGTTTTAAAAAAACAGTCGGGTGCGCATATACAGTTAATCTGTGCTTGGGTCTCTCTTATGTCGCTACTGGATAAAAAATGCTGCCTTACATGGAAACATGATGGAAACGGCGCTGAGAACGAATCAACCATGAGCAAGGATTAGGAGCAACTTCTCTTGAGATGTATATTTACGTCAGTATTTGGTATCGCAAGAATGCATGGAAGTGTCGGTATTAGCCCAGCGAGAAAGAATTGTTTGAGGGAATGCGTTGAAGACATGGAGAGCCGTGGTACTGAATTAAAGAGGAATGCAAGTAAAAATTTTGTTACAAACTTCCAAAAAGGGAGAAAATAAAAAGTAAAGGTTCACTTGTTAAGTCGTAAAATCCCTTGCAGCAACGTTGTGGGAAGCCAGTTGGCACTTATTACAATAGAACAAGGTGCTTCATTGTCCTATCCAAGAGATTTGTGGAAAAAAAGCGTTCGTTTCGCGCTTAGGTCGGCCCTTGGAACTAGATCTCTTAACAGACAATACCACTGAAACACGTCAGCTAAATTACATGATTTGGAGGTCGCACTTTTCCAGTGCAGGTGTTAAGGAGTTGACGATGGCATCCCATACATTCCTGTTGACGCTCTCCGTAGCTACGCTACTGGTAGCCGTCCTCGGGGCTGGCTATGAAGAAGACACAGATGCGCTGTACCAGATGTTCAACGACGCTATGCAGAAGAGAGAAGACGGAGGGTTGATGCAGTATCTTGTAGAGAAACGAGGAAGAGGTGGATCTTCAAGAAGTGAGTCCTAAAGAAAAGGACACAGTTGATAATGACTGGGCTCTATTCCAAGGAGCCGCCAAAATGTTGTAAATATAACATTTAATACTAGTGTATAAAAGTCTAGTGTATTCTTAAACATTTTTTTTTATTTCATATATGAATTAGGAAAAACACACTCAAGTCTTCAAATTTAATGACACGGTTGGACATGTTACCATATGCGAATATTGTATCAAAAAGACTGTGACAATTCCTACCCATTAAAACTGGGTAAGATTTGTTACAGGGACAGTGAAAGAGGCCCGGTGACTTATCACTTATTTTGTTTTGTTGGGTTTGTCACATTTATGGACAGCTGATGAAAAATCACAAACTATCCATGATATAAGGCATGCACTTAACGGGTTTTGCATAGAACATATTAATTGATTTCGAGTGAGGAAAGACCCCCCCCTCTCCATGTCTCTCTAAGTGCTGATTTAATAGAATTAGCTTTTCTCACCTTCTGCGTCGATGAAATTAGCGCACAGTGGAACGCTAAGTCTGCTCAGATGTTGTTAGCCATTTTGGCGGCTGTCCTTTGAAACAAATACAACTGGGGCGACAATATTAGGTACCAAGGTAAACTAGCAAAAACTGCTGAGTCTCTAAACAATCCTTCAAGACTGGAGCTTTATGTACGCGTTTTTGATCAATCATCCGCGTGAAATTGCTCTAATTCTTTGCAGGGTGTCAGTATAAGGGTTCGATGTGTACCTGTGACTACAGATTCGGCCCACTGAATGCAAGACGGTACGCTAACTGCATGAAGGTTACGTCATGAGAGGTATGTAAACTGCAGTAGCATGACAAGCATGCACAGCGACAGTGCAAATCAATGTAACCACCGGACGATTCTTGTTGCTAGGAGCATAATTTATCCCCTTTTCCTTAACAGGTTCGTGAATTATTGAAAGAATTTGGGGACAGGCAAATGAGCTGTTATGTCTCGTTTTCATGTCATTACCTATCGTTGCCTGATACGCCGCTCCAAATCTATCATTTTTTATTACTTTCTGGCAAACAAAGTTTCATATTGGCTTGCCAGTTTAATAATTGCGATAGGATGGTTTTTGCACTTCACATTATTTTGTCCTATGTTTTTGTATGAGTATGCATGTTTCGGTTACCACCAAAACGAACTAAAACAAAACCCGAAATACAGACATTTGTCGTGGATCAACAGTGCGGAAATGTAATACCACGGTAAGTCTCCTTTCCACGAAATGTCACTATGTGTTCACTGCGCTGGAACTTTCCACGGGTTCCATAGGATTTTAAATTTTCCTTGGAAGACTTAGTTCAGAGCATTGTGTACGGACGATTCACAAAAGTGCGCCTCCAAGGGTTGCAATGCGTTGGCCGATGCGCGTTGCGGAAGGGTCGACAGATTTTGGGCGTTGTGATTGACCAAGGAGTGCAAACGTTTGGAGGTGCGCTATTGTGAATCGCCCGTATTGAAGTGAGATGAGACCATATCTTGATACTTAGCTGAGAAACTAAAGAAACTCTTCCTAATCAATTTGCTTGTAGCGTGCCAGACACACAAGGCTGTTGATATAAATTGCATGAAGGGGACGTCTAGGTTGGTGGCAATGCGCACACGCATCACGCTAATTTGACTTTTTATTATGAAATTAATTCATCTTCTTGCATTTACTACCTACCACAACTACTTTCAAATGTCCTAGGTCGTTACAGCAAAGCATTTTCCACTCCCACAATCAGGAACTTTTGACTATGGTACCAAGTTACAGTATCGTAGAAGAGAGCACCGAAGTGAATACGTCACGCGCACAATTAGTGTTTAAAAGGCATTAGCGCGAGAACCAGTGCGTGAACCAACACGCGCGCGTACTCGATTCGTTTGCACTGCACTTTCTGGTTCGCAGTGACGTCACACTTCGGTACTCTATGGGTATGCAGAAGTGGAGCCCTGCGTAAGTTGTGCGTATTATGTTATGCGTAGCATTGTGACGTATACATTGGATAACGCGTTTAGTTTTCTTAGTACTTCCCTAAATGCCTTTTACTGTAAATATCTTAGAATTCTGTCCGAAAGCTAATTACAATCGCTTTTGTGACGCATACAGAGGTCCAGGTTACCAGTGAAACACTTTCATTAAACGTATTTTAGTATTCTAAAGAACACGGGCAATAGCCAAGAACGTTTAGTTTCAAGACATTAAAACAGAGTAACCGTTTACGATTTGAATATATTTCTTATCGCATTTAACTAAAAGCTCGCTTGAACGATTTTACAGTGTAAGGGGAAGGAGGTCTAAAAACTCGGCATTTCCTGATGGAACGTGTTTTATGGACGGTACCATGGTTTCCGCAGCATGAAGAGTGGGGGAAATTAAGCACATCCAAAATATTAAGCACATTATGAATATGCATAACATTGCTGTATATACCTGGGTCCCAGAATGCACGGCGGAAATACCATACGCTATCTCATTAAGTCTAGCATTAGAATAGTTGAATTTTAAAACTACACATCTCCAATCGGTGGTTAAAACTTTACATTGGTTGGAAAGACAGATTGACCACTTTTCTACCATCAAACACAAGTATCTTCTTTCACTTTGAAACATGAAATCTAATTAAGTTCAAAATGTTAATAAGATGTATTCACAAAATTTAATATTGAAAAAGATTGTGATGAATTCCGACTGAGCATATACTTGCTTGAAGACAGTACTTACTTAAAAAAATCCACAAGCCTGAACTTTTTTATCCTTTAAGCTGATTAAATTCCCTGTCCGTCTGCAGTATAATTAAATTTACTCAACGCACGTCAAAGATCTCACCCAAGTCATATCAGTTAACGAGATTTAACAACCAAAGCAGATTGTTGAAATAAAGCAGTCTTTGATGTGATTTTGTCCATTTCAAAAGAGACTTTGTGATGGGAAGGCAATCAACTTGACGCTGACAGTGCACATGTATCGCAATCACCTATCAGTTTGCATAGGAATTAAGCCTATTCGACGGCCTAGCTACTAGCAAACAAGAAATGTTTGTGTCTGTCGGTATCAAATGTGTCAAGAACGCGTTAACATCAACAGTTTCTTGCCTCTGGTTTTGGTCCAACCAGCTCGCCTCAGACCTTACCACTCTTAACTTCGTCAGTCAGGACACGCCCAGTTCCATCAACATGTTTTGAGCAGTTTAGATTCAATCCATTTGGTCTCTTCCGAAGCGTCTCCCGCCCTCTTTCGTTCATTTCAAAGCTATTGCACATGGCTACAACTTGGCGATAGCTGATTTTCAAGTGTAAATCAACAATTTTGACAGAAAAGACAATCTGATAAGAAAGCGGACGTTGATTGTCATGTTAATGATGTGATACTGTGAATAAAACCTAGAACAAATCGGGCACACTAAACAAAAATACTGGAGGCTAACATCAGTTCCTCCTCCCAGGTTATTTTCAGTAGGATATACCGGACTTCCCAGTCGTCAGAGTTTGGCATACTTCGTAAATCATAAAGGTAATTATGCGATACATGTGCACTCTCAGCGTAAAGCCAATAGCCTTCCCATCACAAAGTTCATTTTGAAATGGACAAAAATCGATGCTTGGATGTATGTGAAATATGGAGGTACTGCTCCAGCTGTGACTTTGGTTCGGTTCCAGCCAATCTAACAGATAGCGTTGTCTCCAGAGCGATTGATGTCAAAAACCTGATGAAGCGGATAACGAGATTACTCAGCCAAATTCCCGTGAATGATTATTCCCCACATTAAGTAGAAAAAGACGGAAAGGGTGTCATTTTGAAGACTTTATATCCCTCAGGAGACAAGAACTGTCGAAAACGCATTGTAACCTTACATGAGAAGCAAGTGACCTGTACTCCCAGAATATTGGTTTGGTTTCACTCTTCGGCAGTTGTACTCTACAATACCTTAACCATGGAACCCACATAACATCTTTCAAACTTTTCGGGATGTTTATATTGTAGAAAATTGAGGTTAAAGCTTATAAAGGTTTTAAGGGAGTCATGGGACTACCTATTTTTAAAATGCAAAGACGGAGTTGGAAACAAAAGGGGTAAAACGCGTAGATGTTGAAGGCTTGGTTCATGGATATAAGCAGTATAGATTTAAAGTAATTATATTTCGAGAGGCCTGCTTCCAGGAGCGGTAAACTGCGAAATTGAATGTGTAGAGTAGTCAGTCGCGGATCTAAATGGGGCGAACCCCACACCTCCTCAACTTTTGTATTTTCTATTTATTATTTATTTATGTTATTTCATTTTAATTTCCATGTTTTCCTTTTCCTTGCTTCTCTTTGGTTCTGGCTATTGAATACAATCAAATTAATTTGAAATTATAACCAAAAGTAATGTTCCCCTCGTATGGTAGGGTTCACCCCATTTACCCCCTCCCCTCGTAAATGCCTGGCGCCTTTCCCCCTTTACAATGCTGTATCCGGAAAATGTTGGTAATTTTCATGTCAATATTATCATTTTGTTGGAATCTACACCCCACTCGCAGATTCATTGCAAAATTTATAAATATTTCTTTTTTCTCCCTTACCATGTATAACCACAGAACAATTGGAGTATAAAGAATGACAGCGTCGACAACACCTTGCAGCAACACATCGGATTATTCATAATTCTGGGAGTACCTGAGAACACAAATTAAGGCTGACATGTTAATTCAATGTAATCTTAAATTAGAAACTTTACTTTTCAATGAAATATTTGATTGCAAATTCATCCTTCTTTAGTATTTTGTTGGTTTCGATTCTAGGTATTTTTGCCTTCACGTCGGCCTACGCTTAGGCAATTATTTGTTATTTCTTAAAGAACTATTTTTCAACCTGAACAACAGTGTGAAATTGTACTTTGATTGATTTTTATTTTTATTGGAATGTTTTCAGAAAGTAGACCAAGAGAAGATGAAAATCAGACAACATTAAATCATAAATACAAAAACTGCACTGTCCGCTATTGAAACGAGAAAAATGACGGAATACAAAACTTTAGGTGTGGTTATGTTTGTTTAGATTTGTGATCTTTATGGGAATTAATATGTATTAAGCTTCTAAGGAGTTAGTTAAAGTGCAACTATCCAACGATAAAGGATCAGCATTATGACAGAGCTTATCATGTTTATGACAACATATTTTGGATAAAGTCAAATTATTTTCTTTAATATGACTTAAATATTTTTGGCATTTCTTTCATATTACCTAAAAGTTTTTGCCATTTGCTATTATGAGGAATATCCCTTTGTAAAATTCGCTTCTTACCCAAGTTTTCAAATTTGTCTGCCAAATTTCTGTTTCTAATTTTATCACGTTTATTTGTTCATTTCTGAATGACTTTTTTTTTAAATTCGCATTCTTTTTTAACTTAAGTCAAGTTTCTTTGTTCAAACGGTGGTCAGTGTGGACCTTTTGAGTTGCAGGATATCACCAAAAAAATCCAGAAAATGTGAAATGCAAGAATTGGATCAGGAGACGTAGGCCTATTATTCGAATTGGTGAAAAAGTTTTCAATTTGTTGCAAGTGGCACACTTTTGGGAAATGTGAAGAAGCAACGCAACAGCACTGTAAATAATTGTAGTACATAGCTCGCTGAAGCACGTAAAGGCCTGGGCTATATGCTGTGCGACTGCCGTGCCAAACTTCATCAAAATGAGCGTGGCAAAACAGCCCGGCAGTTGCGCTGAGGAACTTAGAGCATTGTCTTGATGCTGTTCTGAGCGCTCATAGCGCGGCTTACCGCGCCGAGCTAAAGGACTTGACACTAAACGCTGTGCTATTAAAATGTTTCACGTTTGGCGCTGCAATAGCATGGTGTACAGCCTAGGCCTAACTTGCATTAATGTTTAAAAATTAACAAATGAAACTGTGTTAAATCAAAAGATAAATTCCGATCAGATATTAAATTGGGTGGTCAGAGCACATTGTTGATGTTCGAAAGATGTCCTTTTCCGTCGTATTTTATAAAAGATTTGTTAAGTAGACGTGAAATTCGGTAAAAGAAAGTGAGCTACTTTTATACTTTAAGTTTGACCGAATACTTGATATTACAGACAATGAGACGGATATGTGTATACGTCACCAAATATTTCTAAACGTCAGTGGCGTAACCATGTTGCTATTTCTTTTCATTTTTTATGAATTGAAAGCGTCAACCATTTAAAGTGCTTTTTCACTTCCTTCTTGCGGAGAAGGTTGAGTGAATTCTCTTACGGATGAAAAAACAATTAGAGAGTCATTAAAACAATCCCAATAACCCCAACCCCAATTCTTAAGTGAACGCGTCACTGATCGTACTCGTGTATTACACTCAAAGGACACACCCCCAGATCTGCACACAGTAATGACCATAGGCTGAGAGTGTTGTGGCTTGGGCTGGAATGGATCGGCTCGAAGCTGAAGCTTCTTGCCGTAGACACGCTCGTTATCGCCTAGCCGCAGACAGTTCAGTCGGGCACGGTCTTACTACTTTCCAACATCATACAATAATGAGAGCAGAACATGGCTCCGCTTTTTCCCCCAAAATAAAATGGCTAGAGTTAAGTTTAACGCATGTTACCTTGCCCATTTGACGCCTTTAGGTTATGCGTACACGCCTACTTTCTGCCTAAAACACCACACACTTCAGCAAGTAGGATTTTTTTAACAAAGAATACTTCATAGGTAAGAAAGTAATTGGTATATTCATTGATCTAATATCAGCACCAACACCCTAAGAAAACAACACCATGAAATAAAAGCAAGGATGTCAGGACAGCGAGTATGAAGTGTGATATTTTTCCTCACTCATGTCAAAATAATGAGCCCGAAGCCGCACTCAGATTTGAATTTGCCCCCCCCCCCAACAGAAATCTGGATACGCTGCTGCTTCTACTCCCTCTTACGTTGGGGGCGAATATGCCCATTCATTGATCGCTCAGAGGTTTCATAATTGGTAACTTTTCGTCTCTTTAAACCTAATCTCTAGACTTCACTACTACAAGCTGCCATCTTCACCCTTACCATCAGTTTTATGTGCAGAAATTTGCAAAGTCAGGGTTCATTATTTGCCGATTTTGTTCCATTCTTTTCATAGGTTTTAGAAGTTATAGCTTCCCATCGAACACAACGTGTACTTTTAGCAAAAAAGGTTTCAAAGCATTAACCTGTAGTCAATTCAAAATTAACAAAGTGACCCTTTGGTTATTTATTACAAAACAATTAAAAGAGAATTGCACGTGAACGGCATATAGTTTCCTCGAAGCCAACCAGATTGGCTCTTGTTGTATTTGCTATGATGGATGTGTCCATTATCTTGTCCCGCTTGACACCTGCACACCACCTGACCTGATGGGCACTGTAACATCCATGAATATATGAATACCTGTCTGAAGTATGCCTCGCGCCACTGTACAACATTTGAGATATACGTCAATTTAACTTTAGGGCCGAACATCTAAAACTATCGGGGTGGTTGCGGCCTGGGGGAAATTAAACAAAAACTGTGCCTCATTGAATCAATTCGACTCAACCCGGGTGCACTCACGACACGTGAAACGTCGAGAGAATTCCAACAAATGCTTGTCTGTGTAACAGCAGGTGCAGGTCCATGTTAGCCACAGGTACAAATACTAATATACCAATGGTGCTGCCAAAGACACAATTGCAAGTCCTTGGATAAGTTCATATCAGCACACTCTAGGCACGACTGATTTTCGTCTGAATGTGCACATTGAGACATCTGTCGACTCTCAATGAGGGCGCACTTACTCGAGGAATCTACGCTTCCTTGTGGGTCAAGCGCGTCCCGATAAATTGTTTGATCAACGCTCCAAGTTAGAACGAGGCTATGCACACTGTGTTAATGTCAAATGCCAATTCATGGTGGGTACAAAGACGTTATTTGCAATGGAATGAAATCGAAGCCTGGCTGGTCGAAACAGGAATCACCTGCTTGATATGAACCCTGCAAACAAGCGTCGTTGATATAGAAATCGATGATGTGGACATTGTCGATACTGGTTTCGGTTTACAGACTATGGCAGGCTTGAACCAGTGAACATCAGAGACTGGGACACGGCAACTACACAGACCGGCCAAGGAGTGACGTCCAGTTGACATGATACACTAGAAGGATCTTCAAGACTTGGTCATTTTCCATGTGACTTCAAGGCAACTATAAAAACGGGGAATTTCTTCATTTATTTTTTTATATTCAAAACATCACTTTTCATAGATGCAAGCTGCACGTTATAATACGACACAAGTGTTTTTAAATTAATGGTTAGGGTTAAATTAAGGGTTTAGGGTTAAGTGATTTGCAATTTCAATCACGCCTTAGTTTATAATACCTTTCAAGAATGTTAAGACGTTGTGAATTTACGTATGAATGCTATTTGAAGCCTGGTGGTCTTGGTGAGGTCAGCATCTACCCACTGTCTTCAGATATTGTAGAGTCGTCTTGAAATGTATTCATAAATAAATGTTTTACTGACATCACCTTTCATCAAACAGAGTTAACCCTTTAATGTTTCCCTCTACGTCCATTTTTGCTATAAAGTTTCCCGTTTCAAACTTCCAGAGAAACAAAAGTAAACAAAAATTCAATAATGGTATTCTGGGAAAACGTCTAATTTCTCAACACTTCATTATCAAATTTTAAGCAAAAATTTCTTGTTCCCTTCCCAATTTTGTGGTCTACATTGCTTTCATTTTACCACAGAGCGCATGCAGTCAGTTATAACCCCAAATACCAAACATTATCAGGTTGATCAAATCACATATCGGACGCTCGAAGAATAGCCTGTCACTTCGACTGTCTTTGTCAATTTGGGTCAAACGCAGTTTCGGATCTTCTTCAATTAAATCCTCTGCTTGTTTTTCAAGTAGCGAATTTCCGTTGCATTGTTAATTAACACCAGCAGTTCATGTTCACAGTTGCAGAGACGAACTCGAACGAGCCGTTTGTATGTTCAGCGGACACCTGCAAGCCACCCGACAAGAGATATTCATTAAAATCTGCATCCCCGCCGATTGAAATGCGCCTCTGCACATAGTCACGGTTGCTTGTAAAGGATACTTCCCATCACCACTGCAAAGCAAATTAAATACTTGTTAATTACAAGAATAACTCCAAAGGCTTCCTCTTTTCTAAAGTAAATAAATGAATGAATGAAAAGTTCATATTGTTGGACTCTCTTTTACACGCTTCTAGAAAGGTGGTCCTTTAAAAAATTCCACAAAACAAAAACACGCGTACATTAATAATTATTAAATTATCAATAATACTGTCAAAGCAGTTGATCACTTCCACTTGTGACAAAAGCCCCTGATTTGTGATCAATTTCTACGGCCAGGGTTCGAACCCTACCGAATCCGACATATTTGTTTGTGTAACTGATAAATGACCTCCCTCTGGTCTTACTTCCAGGGTCTCCTACAGATTTCAAAATTGAAATTTTGTTTATCGCCCTCCTGACGTCTGTTTGTAGTATATGTTGAATGTGTATAGGCCCCTATCTGAGGATTCGTGGGTTCCAGCACTAGACGAAGTCTGAATAAAGAGAGAAAAAAAGTCCCCCAATTCTTCCTAAATTGTGCCTTCATTGTCGATACCTGGCATCAAACAACAGCACCTCTGCAGGAATCTCTGGTAGACGGTTGGGACCGATGTTCACATCAGAGAATAAAGCAGAAACCTAAATTTAAACAATCTCATTGGTTTCAGCCGGGGCTTTCATATGTGCCAGTTATTTGCTAGAATAATACATGGCCCCTTATGTTTTACCTGTTTGACGCATCCTGGAGCGATGTCTTGGGCTTCGTTTCCAGTAATTCCTATTGTACACATACTTACAAACTTATCCAAAACCAGTGACAAAGACAGGAGGGAGTTATAAAATGAGTTTAGATAAATGTTGTAAAATAATACTTCACTTTAAAATCCCGTCAGAAATCCCAATTCATTTTGCCCCCAGCAGCATTAAGGTCGGACACACCGAGAATTGAAGTTAGGTTTAAAGATTGACTTCAGCGATAGGCGGTCACCCGTCACCGACAAAGCAACAACTCGCTCCAGGGAAAACTTAGACATCCCGAAGAAAGCTGTGTTTGCATTACAGGCAAAATTGGATTGAAATCTCAGAATGAACGCTCTAATTCGGTCCAATTTCGTGGGGAAAACGGATCGGATTAGTCGGCTTGATCCTATTAGGGGTGGCAGTCGCCGGCAGACTTGACGTTCAGGAGTCGCTGTGCTGTTTGGAGGGCCGCAAGGACTCCCTTGACGGACAGAAACAATTTGGAAGCCTGAAGGGGATTATGATTGAGCAGGGCTAGCAAACATGTCACAGCGGTAGAACTTGGAAAATTGTCGTCTAGCTTGAAATAAATGGGTAGCAATTGCAACAAAAATTCGGATTTGTAGGTCGCCCTGAAAAAAATGGCCGATTTTTCATGGTTTAACGTGAACAATGACTGCGTCAATTCAAAATGGGCAAATTGGCGATAGAAATCAAACCTGCAATGCTTGACTGGCTCTCCTGATAGAGTCATCCATACTAATGATGGCTTCTTCCCTCTGGTGGCGCATTAAGCTTTCATGACGGGAGGCGAGGCAAAGTCAAGACATGTTTAGCCTACTGTTCCTAGCGTTGGGGTTTGACGCAATAGCCGACACCTGAGCGGTTAAGCATCCTGATTTTGTTGGGTTGCTTTCAACTTGTGAAGGCAGGCGAAAGGATTGCATCTGTCTCCTTGCAGACCTCATTTATTCTATATACATGTACCATTCGATAGACACGTTCGTCACCACCAGCATCTCAAGTGATAAGCAGCTCTTCGTCTGTCCTTTTTTAGCAAAGCCTGCAAACAAGGGTTACTTCATTCCCTTCACATCATAATTAAGACTCCATAATTATGATTACAATATCATTTGATTTAAGATACTCTATAAACAATCCATCAATAAAAATCTCTTTCTAATGCACTGTGAAGTGGATGAAGTATTGTAGCGCCATCGCAGAGTGTAAGGACTTGCAACGGAGCAAGCGACTAGACTTGTCAAAAGACTTGTAATAACGGCTTGACTTCAACACTGCAATTTCATAAAGATTTATTTGCCGTGCACCATATAGCAGTAGGCCTAATTGTCGAAACATTTTTGGTGAACACGGCTAATGCGCTTTACACTGTAATTCGATTCTCTTTGAAATGTGGAGTGCATTGATTATTTCGGAATTACCGAGCCGTCGACTTGTCAAGGTAGTCAAATAGGGCCTGCCCTGTTTACGTCACCAAGTGACTGCTGAAACTATGGCCGGCCGCCAGTACAATAAAAGAATAATTCACAGAGTTAAAAATCCCACACAGCTATCAAACACCACTGAAATACCAATGAACTATTGAAAATACTTTCCTCTTAAAAATAGGGCAAATTTTGATTCTAAGGTTAAAAGAAAAACCTCGGCAAACACTTGCTACCCATGCGTAGGCCTACCGAAGGAAAAATAAAAGAGGTCAATAGCAAGAACCGCTGTGCGACAAGGTCTAAGTTGCGGTTTCCAATCCAAGCTTAGGACTCCCATCTGTCGCCTTCGAGGATGCTAATTAGTTTCATTATTAAAAATGAAGACACAAACCGCCTTGCTTAGACCACGTTCCGACCCTCCTCGGGTATATTACGGCAGTAAACTTCAGTGTGCACCCATCCACTCACAGAATTTACATCGATGACGCCCCCCCTTCCACTGATGTTAACTTTCTCTAGCAAGCGAAGGCGCTGTCATCAGCTTTTATACAGAACTGTGAGGAGAAGGCGTGCCAACCTCAGACTCCGAAATAAATTATGTGTTCAGCAAGCATACAGCTCCTGGTGCCAACTGTCCACGTGCACTGACGCAAAATCCACCATTTTGGTTCCAACAATTCAGGCACTCATGTCGCAACAACTCTCGTAGACACGTGTACAGCTCTGCTCTCAGGGTTGCAGCACAGTGCACTAACTGAAGCGCAAAAATCAACAAAGTTTTGGGCTCAATGATATTTAAGCCAAAATTGCTGGAGATTCCCAAACAATTAATTTATTGTCTTGTCCTTGGTCTTTCAATTTTTTGGTGGCTTAGCTAATTGTATGTTTATTATTCACGCAGAATATTGCCAAACCTGTTCACTGCCATTTTTCTACAAGCTCATCCCTCGACCGCCCTCTATTTCTGTAGCACTTATGACCATTTTCCAATCCTGCCCTCGGCCATCAACCTCAAAAACCAGCGTGTTGATTCTGGTCTAAATTTACACAATTCCACGACTTTGAGGGCCTAAATTTTCCTTTTTCAAAGGAAACTATGGGCACCTTTCTTTAGTTCACTGCTCCCACAGGCGGAGAATTTCTGATTGGAATACTCTCCTCATTACTGAAAACATTAGGGCACAATTTGAAAAAAAGATGACTTTTTTTTTTCATTATTTCAAGCTATCTTAGAATTTTATTTCCTCATTCAATTTTTCCCCAAGCAAACACAGCATACCTATTTATTTCCATTTCGTAGTATTCTGTGACTTGTCTACGGCGGAATACAACTTTCCATTCCTCAACAAATCCCCAAATACACTGACAACTCAAACAACAGTCATCAGTTATATCATCTCCAATTTTTAGTACTTTTCCTTCTAGTTTTTTCTCAATTCGAACAGCAAACTGAAGCACAATTCTTACATCACAAGGGTAGTTATTACATCCAGCTTACAAAGCTGACAAATGCTCCATTAGAAACTTTTACCAATAATTCACACAAATATTCCATTTCATCCATGCAGACCCACATCTTCCTTCTGAACTTCAGCTGTCTCCATGGCTATGGTGTATTTATCTTAACAAGCTAGCAGATACGGTTGTCAAGTTGTCAACAAGCGAGGGGCAAGACAGAATCAAGTACAGTATCAAACACTCATGTAAATGTGCAATGTACCAGTCTTATGCATTTGTGAAGAGTTGTTGGACTCTCCACGTCTCCTCAGTGTCCAACATTATCAATCAAGTCTCAAGTTATGATCAGTTGGAAAACATTTATTTTCTGAATATATATATTAAACACCTTTGAACAATGCCACGAAATTTGAGAAAGTTGCCCGGGCTAATTACAAGGAGCAGGTATGGGACAAACCATTCCTTTAGTTAATTTCAACATGCAAGTACCAGAGCCAGAACAATGAAAAATTGTGACTTTTTAGACCTTTTACAAATCCAAACAAGGGCTGAAGAGATAATTTACACAAGGTTAACAGCTGAAGCTTATTTTTTTCAATTTCCGTACTTGCTGGCAGACACTTAGTGTAATGGCGTCCACAGGATTAAAATGTGAGCAACGCTCAAATAAAAAGCTCGTTGTGTGGCCCCATGTCACACCTACAGAGTTTTGCACTTAAGCATTAAAATAATGTCCTAGATAAGTGCAGACTTTTAACAGACTGGGCCCAATTCAATAAACTACCAAGCAAGGCAATGCCTGCTGACAAGACATCTTTCGATTCACACAGGGACCGCAAGAAGGTTTCACAAATGGTATGCCAAGTTGACAAGCCCCTGGCATTGCTGGCGTTACGTCTGCACTTTGTATTCTTTCTATACCCAAACATGCCAGAGCTTTTCTAACCTCAGTCTCACTGACTGGCAGAGATCACAAAATATCCCTTCTCTTGTCCCATCATGAGCAGCAGTGGTCAGGACCTGAGCCATGCACAGAGTTACCACACAATTGTCGCCATTGATTGAAACAAAATGGCAGGTGTACATATACATGAATGCGCAAAACCACACACTCTACTCTGTACACAATGACCGGCCATTTTGTTTCCAACTCTGGTCTGTTTAGGGTATCGAGGTGACTACGTCACAGACACAATTCAATGTGTAAAAGGCATTAGCGTGAGAATCAGCACACGAACCAATGCACGCGCGTAATCCATCCGTTTGCACTGCACTCTCTTGTTCACAGTGATGTCACACTTTGGTACTCTTATAACAACCAGTCTCCTGGACTAATGTTTAAGAAGCATGGGCACAAGACTAGACCAGGAAAACGCAAGCATCATTTGCTAGTTTCAGCATCAACTGCGATTCAGGCAGAAACACTCTCATTTTAGGAAGCAAATCAAGGTCATTTCCTGAAACCAAAGATCCCTTTGTTATGTCCTCAACCATGAATATACAGTCCAAAGCAGATAAGAAGAGCACTGCATTACAAACTTTAGTCATGTTTATAGCAAGGAAACTCTTATGTCCCCAACTCTTTGCTTTTCGTATTTTCCATTACTGATAATACAAGGTATCTTTTATAACAATGCAATTTGTAAAGTCCCACGGACCTTGTTTAACAGTGTTGCACCGTACACTCTAATGGTCATAATATTTCAAACACAAGAGTCTATTTTCAGGGGCTTAGCAAAGGCCTTTTCTTTAGGGTGGGATGGGGGTATGCCAGAGTCACTTTGTCGACTTGTAGCTTGTTTGCCAACCTCATGTCGTGTAAAATTCACAAGGTGCGGAAAATGGAAATCTGTGGTCACTGGTCAGCTACATGTCATGATGAAGGTCAAGGATAACGTTTACGTACCAATTTTGGAATCATCTGCCAACCCCAGCTCTATTCGCGGACAGGAACTCACTATTGGGGGGGGTGCCACACCCCACCCCCCACCGGCCCTACACCCCTGTGTATTTTGTTATACTAGGCACATATACTGATCACTACTCAAGCCATATTCAGTAAGGGGCCTTTTGCTCTGGCGGTTTTATTCCCTTGGGGACGTGGATAGTGACAATGCCTATCCATGTGATAACGTGCTCACTGATTTTCATTGCCTCCCTGTATGCATGGTATGGGGCCAACTGCCCAACAGTTCGTCAGGATTATGGATAAATGAGTTTATGTTCCTGATGCTACCAGCACTCCCTGTGTACTGCCTTTGTCTTTGGCCTCTTGTGCTTGGTTCGGGGCCTGCTCTCCCTTCACTCTGATATTGTGCTTCTCTCTAAACTCGTTGATTTCCTTCCCTTTTCCTTCGACCTGTTTTGTCAGAGCTTCACAGAGCTTTCCAAGCTGCCAAAACAATACAGAAATATCAAACTTTAGATCATTCATGCATATTAAAGACCACATCTTCCTTTGGGCACAAACCACTCGATAGCACACTCAAGTATACCAAAATTATGTGTAATGTATATGTATGCACACATCCTTGCACCTTGTGAAGAGCATTCTTTGAAATACTCCTAACCCAATCCCAAACTGGTCAACAGCTGAAATGGAAATGATGTCTGACTACAATGTGCACAGCGCTGCTGGATGGCTCTCATTTCAATTGTACCTGGGATTTTGTTTGCTTTTATTTACTTTAAGTAAGAGTTAAGACACTGGTCCATGTCAAATGCTATAAAGATTACACAGAGTATTTATAGAGTAATTTGATGACCAGGAGCTGCAGTGGCACAACGCTCATGGACAGGTGGTGCTTTGACCAAGTGTGTCATGATATGTCAAATGCATGCGTGTGTCAAGCTGAATAATAGCTCAAGTACGGTACATCTTGAAAAAGCTGAAGAATGTGCATGTTTATGGTGTGAGTGCGGTGCCTCTGTAGAAATGGCGTCGAATCGGATCAGTCTACAGACAAATCCAACGACCAAAATTAGAAGCCATTACTACGGAGCCATCCTGATCACACGCAGGTGATGCCCATGCGTGAAATTCCTCCAATAGGCACTTGTTAATTGCCAAAGTGCGCATGCCCACTCAGGTTGAGACAGGCCCCTCGGAATGGCGTCTTATAGGATTGCCTATCGTTGTAGTCAAAACTTTACAAACAGTTGGATGGTACACATACATGTACATGTACATGAATGTATTTAGTTGACAACTTTTGGAAAGTATTTTACAAGAAATGTAAAAGGAATTCCAGTTGTCAAAACTGTACCTGTTTCTGACCACTGTTCTTCTTCAACTGATCAATCAAAGCATGTAGTCTCCTTACTTTACATGACAATAAAAAAGGGTTTATCAGAGGAACCCACCTGTTCCTTGTTGTGCTGAAGTGCAGGTAAGACCTCCCCCACAGTGCGTTCTACCAAAACTCCACCCACCAGACGAAAGCATTTTCTGTCAGCATCTACATCTTTTAGAGTTTCAATTACAAGTCTGAGGAAAGACAGATTCCATGAAATTGACTGATTACAACGATGTCTCCAAATATTAAATCTCTTGACCACAGAGATGAGATTTGTTTATTATCATGATTTCAACCAAGTTTTGGCATAAGTTGTGCCATCAGTCATTTTCTTACATGTACTTGGTCAACCGTAGTGGAATTGTTACCGCAACCAAGTAAGTTGCTACTTTGGAAAACTGCACGCTTTTCCTACGTGCTATCACACACTTTGGGAAGAGTTTCCTACAATGACCCATTATGCATCTCAGAGTAATAAAATGTCCTAAAATCAAATTCAGGACAAATACATGTATATTCAGGCCTTTACTCTAAAAACACTTTGAAATTTTCAGACTAGTCTCATAGGGTTTGTGCACAGGGTGTCAAGTGGCATCCATTTACACATGAACATGGAATCTTTCCCAAGCTTCGCTGGGGCCTACAGCGAGGACAAGGTGTGTAAAACCTTACAGTTCTGGAAGTACCTGTAGGAATCTTCTGATGTTACAGCTGTGCTTCATCGAGTTTTACTCTAAGCCCACTGGGCCTTTATGTAGGCTCAATTTTGAACCTTCTCTGATTTATTGCACTCCTTCCTGAGTTGATTTGCCTTTGAATGATTTCCATTTGTAGGGTAATCAACCCAAGAAGAAGTGCAATAAATATTCGTAAGAAGCAAGACTGCCGTGACATGCCTCAACAACAGGTCTACAAACTGACCAAAGCATCCATGCAACCGCATTAAATGAATCATATCATCATGACAGATCAAGTTCCATAAATGGACATTACCTGACACCCTGTGCACAAATCCTATCAGACCGGTCTGAAAAACGTTGGTTTTTCGTTAATAAATTATTTTCAATATTAAATTTGACTTGTTAGAGTGTATGTTGTTACTTTCTGATGCTTCATAAACCACCGCAAGGACAATATACAAGTACATGTAAGTGCTGTCTATGGAACTCTCACTGCCACGCTGCATTCTGGCAGGTGATCAGGTGGTCCAGACTCTAAGCTAACACATGGCTAAGAGTACTAACTGTAACTAACAGTACACCCATTGCATTAAGATAAAGGGTATTAACCCCTTTGCGACGGATGGCATGTCTTCAATGCCTGAAATCCAAACTGCAGGATTGTCACAAACTTTGAATCCTAATATCTTCCGAAATGAGAATGACTTTGCAATTTTACTTACACCGGCGTATTCCTCAGAGTTTGGACTTTCATACCAGCACCCCTAAAGCTTTCCAAAATCGTAAATTTTCTGATGTATTTCAGAAGATATTATTAGGAGTCAAAGTTTGTGACTATCCTGCAGTTTGGATTTCAGGCATTTAAGACATGCCTTGAAGTAGGGCTGTGGTGGCGACAGATAAGAGACAGATTGTAAAAGCGAGCAACTACTACCACGGAGGAATTCCCAGTAGGCAGTACTACTACTAGCCGACCGCGAGAATGGCCTTACATTCCCTTACTACTTCTGTACACTCACCGGTGCTCGTTCTGGTCCCCCTCGAGTTCAGCAATCTTGCTCATAAGTGCTCTTTGTTCCTGTCGTAGTTGGTTAAATTTAGCCACAATCTGTTCATTTGATGGCCCTTTTGTAGACGTTTTCGTGCTGCCATTTGCACTCGTTTTCCCTTTCTTGTCCGCCATGTTGAACTCATAAATATCGCGCATAGAATTTACGCCGCGCCTAGCTAGCTAGCCGGGCCTGCATATGCAGCCAGCTAGCTGAGGCTGGGCCATTTTGAAACATCGGTGTCGTTACAACTGTGGCTTTAGAGCTTGACGTAAAATCGTTTACTGAAACTTGATACTTCATGAAATAAAAAATAAAACGCTTTTCAAATTCTTAACTATGAACTTTTATGTTTTTGTAGTAGGCAATGGATCCAAAATCTCACGACTTTTGGATACTTGTGAAGTCACGACGTTGGGACCAGTACACTGAACTTTAACAAAGCCTAAGTCTTAACAAAGGGCTCTAGACTCGCCTTGTCCATCTCTTTTGTGTTTCTTTTTACTGTTCCTCCTTACATCATTAGCTACAGAGGGCGCAATTTAGACTACAATTGACAGCTCATAAAAAGTTTGGTTTGTACATATAGTTCCGGCCGTCGACGTTTTCAGGAAAAAAATAAATAAAATGAAGGCCAGAAAAGAAAAAGGAGACAGCTTGTTTTCTTTGTGTGTGAAAACAAAATGGCTCAAGCAGGGGAATATGCTATAAGTCGTCAAATGTCTACCTTTTTTTATCCCAAGACAAAAATCGATTCAGGAACGTAATCCTAGATGTGCAGGGCATGTCCTTTTACTCTGCATGAAACCATTGTGAGCTATGTTGGACAGCCCAATTGCGACATCTGAATTTTACACCTCATCGTCCACCCAGCTGAACACCCTCCACCCGTACCTCCAATCGCCCACAATATAACTCCATTTTGCAGTTTACCACCCACTGTTGATAAACTTTCTTTCTGACATATACCTGCAGCTCCTTTGTCGAACCTGAGTATGGGTACATTTGGAATAGATGGCAACAATCTTTCCAGTAACTGCCTTTGTTACGGAGGATAGCACAAAAGGTCTACCCACTTGTATCCACGGACGTATATAAAAAAAACCTGGACTTGCAACGCCTTTGTATGAAAAAGAAGCCAACCAGCGGCCATTTTACCGATCCGAATACAAAGGCGTGGATTGGCTCCCTACTAT